GGGAAGATCACTCCAGGAAAAACAGCCACTCTATTTTGACATTACAACAGGACAAGCAGGTAAACATGAAAGGAATGGGGTTTCCTAAGCAGACCAACTATTTAAAAAAAAAGGAATCAACTCCAGGCCTCCTGGCTTCCACACACCCCCTGCTCTTTAGACACTTCACAAGAAGGAACAAAGGAAATAGACTGTGCAGACATTGGAGAAGACTTGGGAAAAGGTATTCAGGAAATAAACCTGGAATAAGCAGGAGAAATATATTTTGAGAAGGATATTCATTTCCACACACAGCCAAGAATAAATTATGGCAGGTAGAAACAGAGGATTCCTGAAGTGTGCATTTTTGGCTTATTTTTGCTACTTCTTTTTATATCTGCTTGTACAAATTGGGTAGTTAAGTCACAAGTTAACATGACTACCTAGATAATGAAGTAATTCACCACAAGTCCCTTTTGTCCGAGTTTAGCTACTGTAAGAACACCTACAAGGGCTGAGCAATTTTTTGGTTGGTAATTTTTAATGAAAAAGGATTTCTCCTTAAATATATATATATATTTAAAGCTGTAGCATAAAATAAAAGCTGGCATGTGATGAAGGGGTTAGCGCCTCTAAGCAAAACTTCCCTAAATTCTCTTAACAATGAAGTGCACACTATTTCCCAAGCCAGTCACTGCAAAAGGCTGCAGTCTCAATTTACAAAAAAGCCAAGCACTATGACCTCCCTTTGCTTAACACAGAAGTGTATTCAGTCACTTGTTAACTATATATATTTTGAATATAACTTCAGTCAGAAATTTAAATAATCATCATCATCTTAGTTTTCAATTAAATATACACCCAAACAAAAACTCACTTAATCTATTGCAACCCAGAGTGACCCCACAGGGCAGAGAAGAACTGCCCCAGAGGGTTTCCCAGGCTGTCATCTTTACAGAAGCAAACTGCCACATCTTTCTCCTGCAGAGCAGCTGGTGGGTTCAAACTGCTGACCTTTTGGTTAGCAGGCAAGATTTTAACCACTGCACCACGACGGCTCCTAATTAAATATATATTAGCACCAAATTCAGTCAAAAAGCATACCTAATATATTTTGGGTTAAAGCTTATCTAGTATATCTGAAAACACAAACTTTACGCATCTGGCATGTTTTAGTTATAATCTGCAATTTTGAAACAGATTTAAAAAAAAAAAAAATTCAAATAAAAAAGGAAAAATGGCAGACTAGCCAGCCCCTGAAGTCATCAATAGATTTTTTTGAAGGAAGATCATCATAGTTATCTCTTTGCAATAAAAAGTGCTACACATTTTCCAGTCCTACTCATTTCATTAACCACCCAACACACAAATCATCCTACTGAAAATAATCACAAGCCACTTCAGTAAACATACCTCTCAAAGATATAGAGCTATGCAGCGTGTAAATTGTTACAGGAGACAAAATGGCGGCCACAGGAAGCAGAGTGGAAGGTTACAAAATTTCTAAGAGCAGAAGTGGTTTTGAAGTAATAAGTGTGGGGGGGAACTAATTTCACCTCCTTAAGATAACTACAAGAGCAACAAAGAGCTGCAGCGGCATGTGAGGAAGTGAGTATGATGACACTGTCACCCTCTCACACAGGAAGCCAATACTCACTTCTGGTTCCACAAACCACCAGTCAATTCAGATTTTTTCCACTTAGCACATGCCTGGTATTTAGTTCTCAAATAATGTAACAAATGTAAGCACACTAATTAAACAACGGGTGTTAATATCAAAATGCAGGCAATCTTTTTATACTTTTTTTTTTTTTTTTTT